ATAGTCATACGTCTAAACTCTGTATGTAATTGTATACTTTGCCCTCCTTTACTTTGGGGATCCCAGTTCTTTTGGGTTAGGGTGCACTTCATGTTTAGGGTTGGGTCACAGATTCTCATAGGTAAGGTTTAGGGAAAATGTTAGGGTTAGGCATGGGTTGATATAAGATTAAAGGGTTACGGATAGGTTTAGGGTGAGCGTTAAGCTAGTATTGATCTACAAGAGTTGGAATCCCTGAGGCAAACGTTAACATAGCATATTTTCTAAGAAAGAAGGTGTAAGCCCAATATAATTTTTTTTGCCTGTCACTTTTACCTCACGGAAAAGGAACAGCCGAAAGAGAATGTGAATAAAACAAAATAAAAAATTTCTTCCAATATCAAAAACTTCTCATAGGCTATTTGTAGTAAGACTACCACCACTACACATACTTTAAAAAAAAATAATTGCCATGCTAGTGTGCCAATTTGATGGCGAGTCACAACTTTTTTATCACAATATTGGTTGTTTTTTTTTTTGGACATTTCGGTTTTAGAAACCTTGAAAATAGGGGCAAATAACGGTAAACTTTTAAACACACTTTTTTTTTTAAAAACAAAAACAAAATACTTATAAAGATAAGATTTCAATGACAAAACTTTTACCACATCAATATGCAATACCCAGACTTGCTGGCTTTGCAACAACACTTTGATAGAGATTTGATAGACTCATATTTATAATTGAGTTAATTTGAGGCTATCACTTTCTACATATTTCCAAAATTTACTCGAGTAGAAAACACTGACCACAGTAATTATTTGAACTTTTATGAGGAATAATGCCTCTATGTAATCTTCTTTAAATGCTAGTACAAAATCTACATCATTCCATTATTAAATGGTGCGCAAAAAAAATCCAGACTAATGAGATAACTTGACGTCTGTCAGGAACAAACGTCCAAATCAATTCTGTATGTGCCTGTCCCAAGTCAGGAGCCTGTAATTCAATGGTTGTCGTTTGTTTCTGTGTATCATATTTGTTTTTCGTTCATTATTTTGTACATAAATTAAGCTGTTAGTTTTCTCGTTTGAATTGTTTTACATTTGTCATTTCGGGGCCTTTTATAGCTGACTATGCGGTATGGGTTTTGCTCATTGTTGAAGGCCGTACTGTGACCTATAGTTGCTATTTGAGTGTCATTTGGTCTCTTGTGGAGATTTGTCTCGTTGGCAATTATACGTACCACAGTCAACGTAAGAGCATTCTCTTTATATTTTTTTGCTAGTTGTAGTATATGAAGAGTTAAACATTATACATAATATAAACGTTGACATACATATTACATCTGTGTTAAAGATTATTAGTACATTTGAAATTCCCTTTTTGTTTGGTGAATATAATTGAACTATTATAATACTGCATCAAACTTCTGCGAGAACGCTCGAGGCATATTATTTTCATAACTGAGCTTAAGATAAGAGCCTGCATCTGAAACCGAGCTTAAGCCGTTGTCTAATATTTTTTTTGATTCTTGAATTGAATTTCAATATACATTTCTAATATGATGTTAGTACCAAAGCACCGAATACACTAAGCTGATGGTAAACCGGGCCCACTTAGTAGTGTATGTAACGACTGAAAAATAGATTCTAAATCTGCTACGTAGGATGCTCTTTCCTGTATTAAATATTTGAGATATGAGAAAGATACCTTTACATTAGTTCACATAAAACTGTCACTTTTACCGGACTTATCAATAAATAGTAACTTTTTAATCACCTTTAATCACCATTAAATTTGGCTCTTATATTTACAAACAATCAATTACTCCACATTTAAACAACACCGGATGGCCATAGATTAGCGGATTAATTTCACCTTGAAAGTTTGTGTACATCTGTTATCTCGTGACTGCGATGCAACCTAATGAACGGAAGATTCTCTGAATTCAAACACCCGGAATGTAAATAGGAGCACAATCTCAAATCCCGTTATTGACAAACTAGGCAAAACGTTTACTAGATATTGCACCAAAACACACAACGTTTCAGCTTGTGAACTGTAACACCAGGATTAAACTGTTTCCGAATTACATAAAGGCATCTTTTATAATGTTTCGAAATTGTGTATCTTATGTTTCCCAATAAACTCCACAAAACAACAAAGTATTGAATGAACATTTTCTCTGAGCGGTATTTTTAGTAAGTCTCTAATTCACAACAAACACACGTATTCGGCAAGTATTTACATAAAACCGAAACACCACAAATAACAGGATCTTTTATATCCAATGTTTGAACCTTGTTTTTGTCAAAATATCCTCTCCTATAGAACTAAATATATAAAAACATACAACAGCTGTACCACAGCCTTATCAAAACAAAGTGATTTAAAGGTTCTTTAAAAAGTGACATAAAAGTGATTAATACAAAATAACAAATTCAAGTTCATATTCAAATCTTTATTGTCTTTAAAACATATAAGCTTTTGACAAATATACAAATAGAACATAAAAAATACAACATACAACATACAGCCAAATGCATACAAACACAGATCAAATAAAAAATTCCAACTTGTCCTTAGTTCTAATGACTTGTTTTATATAGCAACCAAGTTTATTTACGTGAGTTGCTGTTTAAACAATAGCTTTTTCCTTTCATTTTCTGATGGATCAATATAATTCAGATTACAGTTGTATGTTTTGTTGAAATAATTATCTCTTAATTCTTCATTAATTTTACAGTTTAATAAAAAAAAAATCATCTTCTACTGCATTGCAACTGTGACATAGTCTTTGTTTCATGTGAAAATGTCAATATTCTGATCTCTTCCGATTTTAATTTCTATAATAACAATAATCATACTTTTCTGCTTGCTTAGTGTTATATTTCTTTTTAATAATACTTTTAGTCACTGAAATTGGAGACAAATGTGATGCAGGTTCACGATGCCGAGGATTGTATAGTCGCTGTAACGACACTGGATACTGTGTCTGTAACCATGGTTACACTGAGGTGGTTTCCAGAATAAACATAACATACTGCAAACAGAAACCAATTTTTCAGACAAAGCCCCTGTTACTAGGCCAGAGTTGTGGTAAAGGCAACAGCTTCTGTGCGGATGGTTTCCAGACTACAGAATGCAGACGAGGAGTTTGTGAATGCATAGATGGATATCGTCCTGCAAATCTTCCGGAAATAAACTCGTATCCATTTCATCTGTTACAGTGTGTACCTGGGGAATTCAGCATCGGCAAGTCTAAGTTATTGTTTATCTGGCTCAACTTGCTTTTAGTTATGCCATAATAGTTTCTAACCCAGATCCACACAAATCAAACGCAGTGTCATTTGCCGTTTTGTCATTATTCTCCATGAAAAATGAAAATAACACTTCATAAATTGAATGAGTCCCAAGCCCTTTTCTGGATTTACCTCCATCGGGAACGCTCAAAGCAAAGTACTTGAAAGCAAATGATGTAAAAGTACCGTAACATGCGAAGACACTTGTCGAAGACCGTGCGTTGACCTTGAAATGATTATATTGGAGGTTTCTGATGTAAAAAGGTCTCAGAATCCATAATCGTGAGATTTAACTATACATATATATATATATATATATCATCACATAAAATGATTAAAAACATTTTGACTTGAAAACATATAACCAGTTATTTTGTTTTAGATGAAGCAACACTAATGTGAATGTTTTAATAATTTAAGTCATCATACGACTAAGTCCAAAGTCCAAAGTCCAAATCTAAATGTCTGAAGGTTTTTTTTAGAACTTTCAATCAATGAACTTATAATAAATCCTAACGATGCATTTTATATATTTTCAGACAAGCCAGTTTCAAGTAATTTATGCTTTCAGAAAGGTATGTTTTACTGTGTTTAAATTTATTCATTTACATTGGTTAAATTTTACGACCACCGACAAATTTTCATGATATAAGCGTACGTCCAATGAAATTACATCTTAGCATCAGGATCTAGTAATTTTGGAATGAAAGGTGTTACGCTTTAATGGTCCAAGAAGTGGTGTAAAAGGCTCACATTAAAAATAAAGAGAAAAAGTAGATGAAAGCTTGTAAATTCGAAGTGCTATTGGATATGGAACTGCAGTTTTATACTAATTTGATTGGACAAGTTGCACAAAAAGGTGATAGGCAATGTGTTTACACGTCAACATAGAATCTATGTTACCAAAATCTACAAAAAAAGACAACGAACGTGTTTTATATATCATTGTAAATACATTATGTAAAGAGACACTGATGTAAGTCAATTATATTTTAAGTTCATGTAGTCAACATTTGGTTAACATTTCTATTGGATACCAATCAATAAACTACAATTCTATGCTAAGGTTTAAATTAATTCTTGATTTAACGTCTGTGGCATGTATATTAAAATTAATATCGGATTAAGTAATATTAAAAATATCTTGTTAAATGGCAAAAAGTTACCAGATTAAACCTTTCCTAAACATTTTGATAAAATATTTAAAATTTTTTTTAAAAATGATACATTCTATATTTAAGTAATTCCAGGATCGACATTCTCACCATATACTTCTACCTCAACAACTATATCACAGAATACACGTACTCAGACGACAAGGATGACGCATCACTATGTCACAACAACCTCAGAGATAGTGTCATCTTACATCACGGGTAGCATCTCAACAATTCCATCTATCACCGGAGAGACTCTTGCAAGAATGTCATCATCTCCCCTAAAGTATCATGCAGAATCCTCATCTTCATTACAACATACATCAAGGTTATTGAAACAATCGTCAATACAACATACCTCAAGCTTATTGAAACAATCTACTCATACAACTTCTGATCATTTCAGTAGTACACCAGTAATAAATTCGTTTACGAAAAGTATAAGTAGCAAGGAACTCATAACTTCGTCTTATTCCAAGTCAAGTGATGCTGGAATATTTGCCAGTAAATCCTTACACATTTTACAAACAGTGGATATTGACAAAACATTGTCAGATCATTATATTTACAAAATGACCGAAACTCCTTTAATGTCAAAACAAATGACGACAATAAATCCGTCTATACAAGTTTCGATTCTGAACACAGGAACTTCTCTTAATTCGTTATCATCGTCGATGATCTCAAAACAGAGCCGTCAAACAATTCACCCAGACATAATAACGACTTCCTACCAATCAGTGCCGCATCATTCACTCTTAGCTTATTCTTCTGTAGTAGCTAAAAACTCCAACACACCATCATTTAACTCTGTCGTAGCTACAAGATCCAAAACTACAGGTTCTCAGTCAACATCGGACGGACCATATATTTCTCCTGCATCAACATTTCCTGTTTTGATGACATCTTCCATGCAGACCGTTACTAGTGCCCCAGAAACAACAACCCACAATTTACCTACAGGGGAAAACACTCAGACAGCAACTCAAAAATTACCTACAAGAGAAACCACTGAGACAACAACACAAAATTTACATACAGTGGAAAACACTGAGACAACAACAACAGTATCCTTAACAAGAGGTAAATCATATCAGCAGTCAAAGTGTTTGTGCATCGTATACATGTATTTGTAAACAGGGGCGGATCCCGGATTTTTGAAAGGGGGCGTAATTGTAGAAAAAGTAATAGATACTGCCGAGCGTAGCGACTGAACATTTTTTGGACGGTTTTATGCTAAAAAAAATCATATAAATCGTGATAAACCTGAGATTTATTTTTGGCAATCAAAAAGGGCATTGCACGCCCTATCACGGAAAGCATTTATGATTACCATAAAAACCTCTTATTTTATATCAATAACATCTGTCATCAAACTAAGAACATCGTTTGGCCCTAGAATTACAAAAGTTATAAAATTCAACAATCTTTTTAAATAGATTTTATTTTAACGATAGACCAATATGTTGGTATGATGTGGACACTTTAGTGCAGAAATGTCAATTGATAATTTCACAATGAAGATTAATAAATCAAACCCAACAAATTTTCAACAGGTAAAAAGTCTAGTTTTTATTTCAAAATGAGCAATGGAACTGAGGAGAAGTGACTCTTGATTAACTGTTTGTTGTAAAATTTGCTGTATTTATAATTTATGTCATTTGTATTTTGTTTGTAACAAGCTATATATCCTTATGCTTTACGACACTAAAGATTATTTTATATTGAACATTTGACAGAGACGAATGCAACCTTAAATGGACTATTTCTCCATATGTGGCACCCTTGATGGTGCTTGTATGAACTATAATCTTACACAAAAAGATATTTCAATCACATGAATATCGTTTAAACACCAATTATTTTTCGGGCAAGACTGTAGCTCAAATTAGATATTCATGATAAGATCTAGAAATGAGGCTGTGTTTGCAATTTTCACTAACAGCAAAAAGTTTTAAAGACCTTATATTAAAGCATATATGCAGGACACGATTAACAAAATGATTATTGGTATATCACGAATAAAAAAAAACCGTCTTGTGAACATGTTAGATATCAGTAACACTTCTTTTTTCTTCAAATTTTCGAATTCTATGGGCCACAAAAGTGACATACCCATACATACTGCTGTGTTTTAGTCTTACATGTGACTTTGACTAAGCAACCACATCAGAGATCTCATTAAGAACGCAATGGAATAAGTTGTGTTCTAGCAATCTCACCTCTTTTATGATTGATACTCATTCTAGTTCTCATTAAATTAAATCTTTGACAGCACTGAGTGTAACACCATGTTTTTAAGGTCCTCGATGGCCGAGTGGTCTAGTCTAAGTAGTTCAACTACTGAACCACTAGCCTGTCAACACTGATGTTATGAGTTCGAGTCCCGATACGTAGTAGGTGCGTTCGAATCTAATCCTTATTGACTATAGGAATTTCACTTTTGCTGCCGAAGGTCGGTGGTTCTCTCTGGGAACTCTGGATTCCTCCACCATTAAAGACTGGCCGCCACAAAATAACCAATAGTGCTGAAAATGGCGTTAAAACACTGAAAAATCAATCAACTATGTTTTAAATGTACATTACCGTTGTATATTTCAGTATCTGATGGTAAACAGTGCAACAGTGTTTCTCACATATGTAATAAAGGGGGCATCTGCGAGGAAGATCTATGTGGTGAAAGGAGATGTCGATGTCAGAGAGGGTTTGTACCCAATTTGAACAAGTCCCTGTATCTGAAATGTAAGTATTTAGAAAAGTTGTAGTTACCAAGAACTATTATGAAAATATTATTCTAATGTCCATAAAGAGTTTTGAATATATATTTTAATGTAGTAAAAATATGAACGGTACCAATTTTATAGCACCAGATGCGCATTTCGACAATTAATGTCGTTTTAGTGATGGTCGAGGCCAAAAAGTTCGAAACCTGATACAAAAGTTTGAAGAGCTGATATAACCAAAACGACAAAAAGTAAAACAAAACACGGACATGGAATCAGAGCTGTGCACGAGGGGATACATTCCTAAATTTAAAATAATTTTATAACAGCAAATTTTGAAATTTTATAACAGCAAATTTAAATATATTTAGTAACAGAGATTTCAGAAAATATCAAAAGAGTAAAATAGTTAACCTTGGTGTTTGAAACTTTTGAAATAAATACGTCATTTCTTACAGTGGAAAAGTTAGGTAATAGTTGTGAAGAAGATGCCTCTTGCATGGGGCCATTCACAGTATGTAGAGCTGGTACCTGTCACTGCAAGGACGATTATGTTACCAGTAGTAATGGTTTGTGGTGCACTCATGAAACTTCGTGGTTTGTAAAATTTCCTTTACTTGGAGATAGTTGTTCATCTTTCTTTGCCGAATGCTTTCATTCCATGGAACAAAAATGTGTGAAAGGCAAATGCAAGTGTAAGGAAGGCTTGCGAAGTGCAACCGACGAAGATAATCAAGTTCCTTCAAACACATATCATCAATGCCGAAATGAGACTTTAGAATTTGGTAAGTTAGACTCAAGTATTTCATCTTATTGTTTTCACGATCTCAAAGTTTTTTCCCTTTCACATTCCAAACCGTTTTAATAAATTGATTTTATTGTATATGTGGAAAAATTCATTATCGGTCCTTAATGATCTGCATTGCTATTTCTTTTCTCGATCGCCGCGATATAGCCTTTTTGTGCTGATGCGGCGTAAAGCAATCAACAATCAATCAATCTTTAAAGTGTTCTCGATTTCTCGTGGTATAGCTTGTGTATGCGTGTGTTTGTGTGTATCTGTAGTTTACCGAGGTTCAAAGATTAAGAAGATACAAATAACGTTTTAAACAAGAACTAGGAAATCGTATAAGTCCAAAAGGAGCGGGAACTAATGCGTGGAGAGAGTGGGCGTTTCATCACCCGCGAATCCACACTCAATCAAAATGTCGAAATTAGGTAAGGATGCAATCGGTAAAATTACAGATCAAAAGACTATACTGGTATCTAAAGATCTAAGACCGAGACAACGTGTCGGTATAGTAACATGGATCATTAAAAAGCGAAATTTCCTTGGCTTCGATAATTGTTCGTTAGGTTTTCAGGTAAATATTTATTTCAACGTCCATATTGTACAAAGGGCATACGTTTTAAGATAATAACAGCCATTTCATTGTCACTAACAGTTGCATTCACTAAAATAAAAATGACCAAGGTGAACTAAATTGAAATTGAAATTATGTTGTATATAGAATTGTGATTAAATCATAACCTGTTGCTGTCAAGGTCAACTCATGACTAATCATTTATACCTTCATGCATTATAAATTTTTAACACTATTATAATGGACAATTTGTTATTTACTTGTGAAAAAATTCAGATTAGATGCATAGATAAATTTACGCTGAAAATAAACAAGTTTATAAAAAATCCGATGTTTATAGTCTGTTTTTGAAGACTTATATATTTATAACAACTAACCAATCACCTTTCTTGACAGTTACATCATTTGACATATACTTGAAGTCCATACTACTTACAGCAAAATGATGAAAAGTACAAAAAAAAATAGATTTGGTAAATAGCACATTTTCTGTTAACACAAGGCGCATTTAATGAAAAGACTGACACAATAGAATGCATTGTTTAAATGACCAGTATTACTGATATTTTTACCTTATAGGTTATCGAGAGCCAAGGGCGTGTTATGGTGATGATGAGGATGATATTTCAGATCCAATTTATCATAAAGCGATCAAAAGTAATTATGAATTTTGAGACTGAGATCTATAAAATAGCTATCTGCTTCCTAGAGCATGTTTGAGTTTGCATAATGCACGTAATTCTTCTACACATCATTACTTTATCGCGAATCTTGACACCATAATATTCTCAGTTAAATGAAACAGTTTTTGAAAAATTGCTTTTAAAAGTGCTATACATAAAATTTAAAAAAATAATTAATAGTGATGTTTTACTGTTAAAACCGATTGATTTAAATTGTTTAGTACATAAAAGCAAACTCCAGGAAACATAATCAATGTTCTTTTAAACTGTAGTAAGAGAGAAAAGCTAGAAAAAAGTGATGAAAAATCATCAAACCAGGCTTATTTAGTTGTACACCAGACTCGCGTTTTGTCTTCACAAGACCCATCAGTGGTGTTCGTATTAAAACAGGTATAAAGCAGAATCAAATACAAAGTTGTAGAGCTAATAAACCGAAAATTCAGAAAAAATGTGCAAAAAAATATCAGGAATAAGAAACAAGTTTACCGATGTCCTAAACCCGTAAACCCTTTTTGAGTCATAAAATCGGAACCTAGCCATCCTAAACGCGCTGACAAGAGCAATTCAGACACGGTAAACATGTCACGACAGGTGTTAGGAAACAATCGGTCCATTCTAAGGTCAGACGTCTATTCTTGTGTCTGAAGATCTACAAGCGTAAAAAAACATTGCATACTTGAGATACAGACACAACCCATTCATCAACCAATTCGTGTTTGCGACTGTAAAACCTGTGTAGTGTCGATTTCAGTCGTTCTTCTGAATATCTTTAATGGAACAGCTTTTGCGTAGCACACACCTGGTAATGATAAAACAGAAGAGCACGATAGTACTAATGATACACGAAAGAATGTAGAAATATATTCAAAATATTCCAAAATGATAAATTCGAAAACAGGATCAGAAAAATGGAAATGATATAAAAGAAATATATGCGCACTTTGTTACAACTAATTGTCTTATTGCAGGAATCCGGAAAATGCAGGGTATAATATTTGGTTGTATAGCTGGTATAGTAGTTGTTATTTGCACTATTATTGGTGGCATTTGTTACTGCAGATATCAGAGAAGGTTAGCATATTAAATCACAAAAACCATAAAAAGTTTTTTCTCGAATTGATCACCACAGTTTTCCTCAAAGGTTCTCATCTTAAAAATAAAAAAAATGAGGCTATACAGGATAAAAAGGCATCTTTGTCGCTGGAAAAAAAGCACACATTCACATTAGCTTACAAAGCTTCGACACTGTATTTATAACAATTTTTTTTATAATTGTCAATGTTCCCAAAACACCCGATGAACTTATTGTTGTACGTTATGTTATTTTGTTTAAAGGTTGTATGGTTGTCTTCTACCATCTTAGATTGTAAAATAGCACAACACAACAGGTCTAGATTTTTAATTAAGTCAACAAATTTCGATGCAGGAGAGCAATTCAATGATAAGAATTTTCTTTTAAATGAACAACTTTATGTGATTTTGAGTTATAATTAATGATAAAAATAGATTTACAAAAGTAGAATAATTTTGCTTGATTTCGAACTTTGCATATCAAGGGGAGGTAACTTAGAAATAGTATTAACAATTTATAAAGGAATCTACAGAAAATTTTATAATTTTGTGTTGAAGCAGTAAAAAACTTACAGTGACCCCATCTTTTCTTTTTATATTCTGAAAGCATTTAATGAGAGCTATCTGCTCAAATTTTATTTCATACTTCTATCATTTAGTTTTCCTTCTATTCATTTTATGATGCCTTTTCTCTGTATAACCCATACAAAATGTGTCACTTTTGCACCATCTTTAGCTCGATAGAAAGCTCGGTGACCGCATTTTTGAACATATCACAATATATGCTACATATTGACAAAGTATGAACAAATTGTATTATTATTTTTGTTTATACTCCCATACCACTTTAATAAATTTTGTCAAAATTCTATCCACTGGTGAACTGTGGTGAGGTGTTATTTTCACACGTGTAATTAACCAATCAGATTACAAGATTCTTGCTTCATAAAAAATAGTTAAAATTATATATGGAAAGCAGTTAGATAAGACAGCTTTTCTTTAGGTCGGCGTTAAAGTCTACCACAGGTGTACAATATCTACCTAGTTAACGAAGAGATTTAATTTTGATTTACAATTATTCAATAAACAAGAAATTCATAAGCAGTGTGAAGCTTCTAAAGATTAACACGACCTTTCTAATTTTCAGAGTAATGGTACGGGACATGACAAGTGACAAAAATTCCGTCATTTCATTTGATAGACAATCAAGTGGGAAATATTCCTTTAGAATTCCACGCCCATTTATGCCTTATATCAAAGACTGGGATACGGATCAGTTAACATATGCTAATTCTGCGTTCACATCAGATGACAATGAAGCACCGAAAGGTGACCGAACTTTGAGAAGCAGCCGAAGTATAACGTTACCTGACGAATCAGATACTGAGGGCTATAATCGTCCAAATGACAGACATAGGACAGTGTCTACGTCATCTACAGCGGATGGAGACATAACCTCAGTTGAAGGAGAAACTGATAAACAAAGTATAGGCGATTCACCATCATCACTTGCAAAATCGTATCAGGCAAACCATATCATCTTAGATCCTGAAAATGTGGAAGTGTAACTCATTGTGTTGTTACAAAACATGGTTGTCCTGTTAAAGGGAGAGGGAATCCCCGGACAAAGGTTCAAGAGTTTTATTTGAACAGTTGTTAGATCACGATGTAACTGAGTGAATACAGATAACTGTACAAATTTTAAAATGCACACACCTTTTAGTAGTTCTAGGAGTTTTTCGTGTGTCTCTTATTGTCGCTTTAGTCGCGATAGTCACTCTAGCATAAAATTGACGGAGAACGATGAATTTTAGCTTAGAATTTAAACAAGAATGGTGTTCTAAACAATAAATATTCCCAAACAGCGTTTTTAGGGGAACTGGACGGTTCTTTTTCCTCGTCGTTTAGAAGAATTTCTTAGCGGATTTTCGAACCGCGTATCTTTAGGTTTTACGCCAAATTGAACGACGAATACCCACTTCCATCGCATATGTACTAATGTTCTTGTATTTACAGAATCGTTGTTTTCATCATTGTTTGATCTTGTACTTTCATAGTTTGAAATCGAACTGACGCATCATAATGTATTAGTCATTTTTATTCAACATCTTGTACTAGTCTGTTTTATGGAAGTATTGGTAGCTCTTTAAGACTTAGGCTGACTGCATTACTTATTCTTGGTATATACCGCAAGACAGACCTCTAATATATTTGATTTTTCATTCTTCCACAATTTGATTAATTAAATATAGAATATATTGATAAGTATTATAAGAAACAAACACTCAGAGTAAAATTGTTATTGTTAATTGTGACAGGAAACTAATCATAAAGTAAAGAAATGTGTTCTGAGGAATGATTGGACTTTCAATTTAGTCTTTACAAGATTCTAGACATTATGAATTAAATTTTAGAAACAACATGATTAATTGTATGGTATTTTCGTTTTCATTCTTCATTCTTCATAATTATATATTAGTGGATTTGTGAAAATGAATGAACTACAAGTCAAGGAATCGATGTCGACATATACTGTCTTCTTGTGGTAAAATCTCTTTAACGGAATCAATCATTTGTTTGTTGTATTTAATGTTTATGAACTCAGGAAAAAACTTAGTAGCTGAATCAAACGATTTCTTCAAGTATGATATCTTCACTGCAAAAGTATCAAGTACTCCAAACGTAATTTCTAGACTTTGATTCGAAGGGTTCGGTTTTGCAGTTCAAAGTGAAGATATTTATTTTTGGATTATTCCTTCAATATGAATCTCTTTGCTTACATGTTATGCATGTAAATAGTGTATCTTTATTCTAAATGCTATTTATCAACCGCCAAGTTCTTCGAAACTTCGTCAAAATATTTCCAAGCCATTTTTATCTAAATTCTTGCAACTACTTATTCTGTAACGTTAATTGTCATATAGGTACCATATCTTTTTTATGTTTCTAAATGCATTTTTTTAATATACTGTAACCCTCACACAGATAACTAACATATTCTGATATTGTTTTGAAGACTTTGGTTTTTTTATGCATCAGTTATGATTGAAAGTATAGATGTCGTTGAATAGTCAATTTGTAAGGTATTTCTATCATCGATTTCACATAAACTGAACAGATTTTATCTGAACTCTTGTTACTTTTTCGTTAAATACTGTCACTTTGCAGCCTTTACTTGTTTTTTTCCCTAAGTATTTCTAATGTGACATCACCGAATGTACTCACCACCAAATTTGTACTTACCATAAGTAACACGACAGATGCCACACGTGGAACAGGATCTACTTACCTTTAGGGAGCACATGAGATCATCCTCAGTTTTTGGAAGAGTTCGTTTTACTCAGTCTTTAGTTTTCTATGTTGTGTTTTGTGAATTTGTTTGTGAATTTCGTGTTGTTTTTTTACAATGGCATTGTTACCTTCTCATGTTTAATGAATTTTGAATGTTCTCTTGGTATCTTCCATCTCTTGTTTAAAATAGGAATTAAAACGACAGAAAGTTCCCTGAATAAATATAAAAAACGAAAGCAACACCTTTTAAATTTCATACGTCCGAAGCGCTGTTCATGTCAATCTAAATTCTGCGCCCCCTTACCTTCCGAATTTACCTACTCCAAGATTTACAGTCAAACATTTGGTCGATCGAAGTTTTAAAATTGTTGCTGTTATGGTGAAAAGATACCAAGGGACAATAAAAAAATCATAAAACCAATAAAAACAGAAACCTTCATATTCAAAAGTATCATAAATAACAATAACAAATAACTAAAGTAGAATTCATTTAGAAGGGAAATTATAAGTAGTACAGTACTTCATCAGCTTTTGTTCCGATTTTTCCAAAATAGTTTTAGTCAAACTTTCCACTATGTCGTTAAGTTGTACCTCCTGCGGGTTGCTTTAAGGAATTTTTATAAGGTAAGCGTTTTCTATGTATTGATATAGTCTGCAATCCGCTTCCCTCGATCGATTCTTTTGGAATCGCATCCAACTTCTACATATTCATCTATACGTCGTAAAGTTGTGCATCTTGAATTAGTTTTATTTCCAAGTCATTCAAGGTCTCGATTTTCAATTCTATACGGAATAATCCTTATTTCGAGGGGACAAAGGGGTACAAGATTGACTGAAATCGGTTCAGTAGTTTAAAATGTGGGTTGGATATTGTTTCCTACCTCTTTAGAAATCATCTGAAAATAAGGGGTGTATCTCCAAAATACATAGCATTGTTATCTTGTATAAATTTGCTATATTTTTTTGTCCTGTTGTTTTATATCAGCTCTTCAACATTTGTGTTAAGTTTTTTTCGATTTTCAAAGAGTATGATTTCTAGCATCAATGACGATACAATGATTGTCGAAAGGCGCATCTGGTGCAGTACAATTTGAAACATTCAATGCTATCAATATCTTCTTAGGAGCCCAGGAAAATAAAAATGAGATAAATTATACACGACTAAACATTACACAAGAAATGATTCAAATTTTGTTGTAAATAAAGGTAACAGTAGTATACCGCTGTTCTATAGTCATAATTCGATTAAGCTAAAACAACTATGGGTCACAAACTAAAACCGAGGGAAACACATCAACTATAAGAGGAAAACAACGGAACAACAGAAACACTGAACTACAACAAAAACAAACGCCAACATAGAAACGAACTATCTGATAACAACTGCCATATTCTTGACTTGGTACAGGACATTTTAAGAAAAAATGGTTGGTTGAACCTTGTTTAATGGTTAGCCAAACCTCCCGCTTATAAGGCAATGTTAAAAATACCGCTAATTGACAACAAAACGGGACAGGAATACAGTACAAACAAACGCAAGAACCCTCAGCACAGAGAAATACGTAAATAAATAATATAATTGTACATAACAACATGTAAAGCGCAGAATAACAACGGACACCATGTAATTTATTCAGTGGTTATGGGAGAAGGGAAATGCAAACATATCTTTATACGAAAACTCTTCATTTCCAATTAAAAACACAAAAAGAAAACCCAAAGCAAAAGCCAAATGATGATACACAAAACGACATTACAAAAGGGAGGAGTTTAGTTGAAATCCATTCACGAGATGGAAGGAAATCGGATTGCAGATATCAATGTGTATAATAGTTTTAGATTCCAACAAAACGCACTTGACCAGCAGGTTGCACACCATATCCGTACCTAATTTGTAAATTGTGTGGCCTTCCGTTTGCCGTTTCGGTTCCTAACGTCACTGGAGAGACATTGGTTGTCGAGGTCCGGATATGGTGTGCAGGTTTTGCACCTCATGTTTGCGATGTGCCATCTTTTCCGAAATTTGTAAATTATGTGGCCTTCCGGGTGCCGTTTCGGTTCCTGACGTCACTGGAGAGACATTGGTTGTCGAGGTCCGGATATGGTGTGCAGGTTTCTGCACCTCATGTTTGCGATGTGCCATCTTTTCCGCAAGTTTATTGTTTTCTCTTTGGTGATAGATTAATTATAGGATCCATTTTGTTGCATCTCGTGGTCCGTTTGTTTGGCGGTCGCCGATGGCGGTCGGTGGGGTTTGGGAGCATCGGTTGTTCGGCCTGCTGGTCAAGTGCATTTTGTTGGAATATTCCTTTTCACTTTTTTGGGTCTTTTTGGGAATGTTGTTTGTGCTGTATTTAGACCCCTCTACCAAGAAATTTGTTTTGCATGCACACTTATACAAATTGCGGTTTTTATCCAACGCAGTCATAGGGTTGAACGTTGTTTTCAATTTAGACTTCTTTATAGTTTTAGATTATATATATTTGTTTTCTGTATTGCGGTTGTGAGAAACGAATTTCGATTAATGTCTGATTGAAGGATCAATAAATAAGCATTATTACGTAATGATAAAAAGGGGATCAAATACCAAGGGTGCAACACAATTCGAAGAAAACAAAAAAATGTAATTGCCAAACAAACATATTTTTTTTTATAGATACATAAATTTGGTTTGAAAGTTTGGTTGTAAAAACGGAATATCACATCCTTCTTTAAGCGGTGATGTTGTTTATAGATAGAACCCGTAATTTAAATACGACAAAATTTTATGTGAATTCTGAAAGATCGTAGTAAGATCTTTTAATATTGTTTTTTTTTTTCAGGACTGACATCGATTTTGTTTTTGATAAATCAAATCATTATTAAATATTTATTGCTTTATAGTTTTGAAAACTAATGGTCATGCGTCCTGTCGGCATTATGTTCTTATATTTGCAAGTACACATGGTCATACGTTTCTCAAAACTATTTATGATGTCTTTACACTAAATTAGTTGGATTTGTATTGATGATCCTGGGAGAACAATATTTATCTATTAGTTGTCATTGGCTTTGAACTCGCTTTCGGTAACTGCGAGTACTCATAAATCGGCACTTTGTGTCTTTTGTCATTATGTAAGTTGTTATGTTGTGCTTCATGTTGTCCTAGTGGGTCAAGCTATTTTTTACAATATGTTCTTATGTTGTGTTGTTAATACAATCGCAATTTAGGGGAGAGTTGAGAGCGCACAAACACGTTTAATCCCGCCATATTCTTTATGTGTCTATCCCAAGTCAGAAATCTTATTCAGTTGATGTCGGTGCTCGCTGTCTATCATATTCGTTTTTCGTTATTTTTGGGTCATAAATCAAGCCGTTGATTTTTGTCGTTTGAAATGTATTTTTACATTTAGTCATATCGGGTCTTTGTATAGCTAACCATACGGTTATTTTTGCGCACTGTTGAAGGCCGAATATATAACATTTAGATGCATACATCCACGTCATGTAGATAGTTGTCTTATTGTCAATCATACCACATTTCTTTACTTTTTATATGGATATTCATTGTATGTGATCTAATAGCCAGTACCTATAGGGGTAAATTCAGTAAATAAATATACGTCATCAGGGACCGCCCATTTGGGGGAGAGCTTTCTGTACAAAACTGAAGTCATGTGCTCTTCTGATTGGTAGATAATGTTTGTAATAAATATTTTTTGATAGATGGATCAAAACTAGAGTTAAAAAAAATTAAAAAATGAATGCTGAATGTACTAAATTTTTTTACTACAGGGTTGAAAAGTAATGGGGGTCAGTAAAGGAATTAAGTGCGAATCTACAGTGTTTGTAAACAAGGCCATGTGAATGCCCAAAAATGCCGCATGACCCTATGTTTTTATTGTTGCAAAATATAGGGCTACATTTGTACTTTCATGAATGATATATGAAAGCTCCCAATTTCTAAAGGTAAATCAGGTATAAATTTAATTCAAGACATAGATTAGCATTAAAGTCAATGGGAGATTTTTTACTGAATTTACCCCTATAGGAAAATATGCACGCTGTCACTGTACTTGTTCAAGGCCACACAATAATCACAAAACTCATTTCCTGTAAATATTAATGCACTGGAAGCCTCTTGGAACCAGTTAAAGTTGTTTTTATACAAATTTCTATGTTTAACCGCGGCTATCCAGGATGCTCTGAGTGTACTGTGGGAGGAAGCATGGGGATATATGGTAAAAAATCAGTTTTGTGTCCAGATTGAAAGAAACAATAGAAATTACACTTGAGAGTTATGATATTATTAAAAGGCATAAATATTCTCCACATTTTAAATCACATTTTGCACATATTTCTCCTAATAATGTGTAAAATCATATGGAAAATCAGAATTACCTCCCTTTGACATAGTGTATTTTTTTAAGCTGTGTTCCCCATGTTAAGTTGTAGATCATGTTGTAAATAAGCACTTTTCAAGTATTTTAACACTCGAATAATCTGACCGTATGAAGATATTCATTTATTTTTACATAATTCATTGCGTTTCTTTAAGTAAAAAAAAATACTAGACAACTTTTCATGATTATATACCCTTCATCTATAAAACTAGTGTTGAAATGTTTGTAATTGGATTGCTATGTTAAATAATTGCTTTTTAATATTCTAAATTGTTACTTTTATGTTCCAAATGCAAAGTTTGGTCATACCCAGTCTTATTTTTTTCATATTTGGCACTTTTTTCTACTTCAGTTTTGTCCGCCTAGTTTTGGCGAAGAAACCATCCTGATGTTGGGGTAACAGGAATTTCTGCAGAGTGGTTGTCAATGACATTTTGTGAAATTTACAAGT